GCAGACAGAGATCTGTCTGGATCTCTGTGAGTTCAAGGCCACACTGGAAACAGAGTCAGGAATGGTGGTACACATCTTAAATTCCAACACTAGTTAACCTATGTGGTAATATTTTATTTGTATGTTAATAAATAAGTTTGCATGGAGATCAGAGGACATAGCCAGCCATAAACAAAAGTAAGGCAGAGCACATGCCCTTAATCCAATCACATGGCAGGCTGAGTCTCTGTGTGTTCTAGGACACAGCCAAGCATGGTGACACATGCCTTTAATCCCAGTACCAACCATAGAGACCTGGAGGTCTGTACAGACAGGCAGTGATGAGGAAGTGAGGTGGCTGGGCTAAGAGCCAATGAGAAGGCAGAACAGCAAGGCACAGGTTAGACAGGAAGAAGCTAGTTCTCTTGGGAAGCTATGATTATGTGGTGAGCTAAGGTTGGATGGTGGCTATTCCTATTTCTCTGATCTCTAAGGCTTTCACCGCTGTATTTGGCTCTGTGTTTCTTATTTAATAAGACTGTTTAGAAATTCGTCTACATCCCTATATCTGACTCTGTTTTTTTTACTTAATAATACCGTTTAGAAATTCATCTACAAGGTTTTACTTTAGATCACAAGATTCAGCATTTTACAAAATCTTGTAGAATTTTAATATGTCATATTGATAGGTGGTATGCATACTAAAGAGACTTTACTAAAGATTAGAAAATACAACCACAAGAAATGTCTTAACTATACTGCTGACATTAATCACAAATATTCTTGGATGGGTATGTGGATACTCACATTTGTCTTAGTTAGGGTTACTATTGCTGTGATGAAACACCATGACCAAAAAGCAAGTTGGGGAGGAAAGGGTTTATTCGGCTTACCCTTCCACATTGCTATTCATCACTGAAATAAGTCAGGACAGGAACTCAAACAAGGCAGGAATCTGGAGGCAGGAACTGATGCAGAGGCCATGGAGGGGTGCTGCTCACTGGCTTGCTTTCACATGGCTTGCTCAGCCTGCTTTCTTATAGAATCCAGGACCAAGCCCAGGGATGGCACCACCCACAGTGCGCTAGATCCTCCCTCATAGATCACTAAATGAAAAAAAAATGCCTTACACCTGGATCTCATGGAGGCATTTACTCAACTGAGGCTCCTTCCTCTCTGATGACTCTAGCTTGTGTTAAGTTGACACACAAATCCAGACAATACAACATTGTTTGGAAATAAGCTCTGATCTTTAATTTCCCACAAACAACTGCTTCTTACTTCCCTGGTCAGAGATAATACTATTTGAAATGGTAAGCAGGACGGCCTTCAAGTTCCTGCCTTGACTTCCCTCAATGATGGATCAGAACCTGAACGCTAAACAAGCCCTCCCTCTCTCCCTCCCTCAAAGTGGCTTTCAGTCAGGGTTTGTCACAGCTACAGAAAGTAAACTAGAATAATGGTAGAATTCTTGCCTACCACACAGGAGCCCTCGAATTGACTCTTAGCACTGCAAAAAAACACATACATAAATAAACAAACATACATACTCATGTGTGTCTATCTTCAACTCATATCCTGAGTAGATCCTATTCAATGAAATGTAGATAAAGTTTTACCTAATAAAGATATAAGCAATTGAATTTACTACATTATCACAGATTTATTATCTTTAATTTATCGGGTGTGGGGGAGTCAATGTTTCATCATCAAATTAGTAAATAGTGATGTATTGAGATAACTAATTCTATTCTCACTATACTCTGAAAACCAATAAAACAAATCATTTGGCCATAAAATCTCTGCTCACAAGCTCTTAATAGGTAGTTATTTTTAATATTACCACATCACATTCCAGTATCTATATTTTCATTCTATTTGATGTCCATTAAAATAAATGATCAATTTTAGTACTAACTTCTTGAGAGTATTAATCATATACCTTTAAATATACCATAAAACACTTTGATGAATAAAGTTACTGGGGAGAAAGGTAGTGATAATAAAAACTCAGGAGCAATGGAAGCTATTCTTTAACATGAAGCACATGAATTAAGAAACGGGATGTGCTATGGCACCTGAAGTCCTACCAATCATCCTGTGCTGTAAGCATGCTCTATCATTCACAGGGGGGTTTCTCAGTCTCAACACTACTGAAATTACTGCCAGAAATTCTTTTTCCTAAGAGGCTGCCCTGTACATGACAGAAAGCTCAGGGCATCCCTGCCTAATGTTCCCAGCTGTCAAATGTCTCCCAGAGGACAAACTCAGCCCAGATAAGAACTACTACCTTACAGATGGCTTATACTGAAAACATCCATGGCCAAATCAAGTCAGAATCCCAGGTAGAGGGCATGAAAAACCTGTAGAACCGCTCCAAGCTGCTCTTAGGAAAACCTCTCCAATGTACATGATAACATGCCTTCAACTCCCTCATCACTCTGACAGGGAACACCATGGCTTCAACTCCCCCATCACTCTGACACAGGGGACACCATGCCTTCAACTCCCCCATCACTCTGATGCATGGGACACCAAGCCTTCAACTCCCTCATCACTCTGATGCAGGGGACACCATGCCTTCAATGCTCTCATCACTCTGATGCAGGGGACACCATGCCTTCAATGCTCTCATCACGCTGACGCAGGGGACACCATGCCTTCAATGCTCTCATCACTCTGACACAGGGGACACCAAGCCTTCAACTCCCCCATCACTCTGATGCAGGGGACACCAAGCCTTCAACTCCCCCATCACTCTGATGCAGGGACATCAAGCCTTCAACTCCCTCATCACTCTGACGCAGGGGACACCATGGCTTCAACTCCCCCATCACTCTGATGCAGGGGACACCATGGCTTTAACTCCCCCATCACTCTGATGCAGGGGACACCATGGCTTCAACTCCCCCATCACTCTGATGCAGGGGACACCAAGCCTTCAACTCCCCCATCACTCTGATGCAGGGGACACCAAGCCTTCAACTCCCCCATCACTCTGATGCAGGGACATCAAGCCTTCAACTCCCTCATCACTCTGACGCAGGGGACACCATGGCTTCAACTCCCCCATCACTCTGACAGGGGACACCAAGCCTTCAACTCCCCCATCACTCTGATGCAGGGGACACCAAGCCTTCAACTCCCCCATCACTCTGATGCAGGGGACACCATGGCTTCAACTCCCCCATCACTCTGATGCAGGGGACACCATGGCTTCAACTCCCCCATCACTCTGATGCAGGGGACACCATGGCTTCAACTCCCCCATCACTCTGATGCAGGGGACACCATGCCTTCAACTCCCCCATCACTCTGATGCAGGGGACACCATGGCTTCAACTCCCCCATCACTCTGATGCAGGGGACACCATGGCTTCAACTCCCCCATCACTCTGACGCAGGGGACACCAAGCCTTCAACTCCCCCATCACTCTGATGCAGGGGACACCAAGCCTTCAACTCCCCCATCACTCTGATGCAGGGGACACCAAGCCTTCAACTCCCCCATCACTCTGATGCAGGGACACCATGCCTTCAATGCTCTCATCACTCTGATGCAGGGACATCAAGCCTTCAACTCCCCCATCACTCTGATGCAGGGGACACCATGGCTTCAACTCCCCCATCACTCTGATGCAGGGGACACCATGGCTTCAACTCCCCCATCACTCTGATGCAGGGGACACCCACACACTCATTTCCTTCAACAGTAGTCAGTCCTCTATGATTATCAAGGCTCTATTATGAACTTGTGTTTGGTGGAAGAGCATGTGTTAGTTTCCTGAATTCTATACAGCCAGCTTTAACTATTTCAGCTCCCTTCCTAAGGACTAATCCTATAATCCTCCCCAATAGATTATCTGTACAACTGTAGTATTCTGAATAAGAGATAAATTATATTCACGAGAACTTTTGTCTGAGTCATTAGAGGGAAATTTTAACAAATAAATTAATATACTATGTCCAATACTGACAAGAAATGAATATTTACTACCTTTAAATCCAACACAAGGATAAACATATATAATGTTTAGCAATAAATGTTTCTTTCTAATCCCTGAACAAAATTATGAGATAGTTTAAATATTTAACAATATAGGGTCTTAATCATGTTTTCACAATTCACAAAGTCTTTTTAATTGCCTTAAATATTTGAAAAGTATTAAAAAACAATTAGGATCTCTCAAAACTCCCACAAAGTGTACACAAAAACAACAAGGCAAAGGAGCTGATTTAATCATTTATTATTGAATATACCTTTGCTTCAAAGAGAAAAGAATTCAATCAGGAGTAAAATCCTAGGCTAACGTGATTTCAGTGACTACCTCTCACATTTAGTGTCCATATTGCCAAAAGGGCTCTGACACTAGGTATTGAGAATAAAATACAGAATATATATAAAATTTTAAAAGAATAAAGCATCATTCTAGTATACTGGCAGCAACCAGTGGAATACTTAATGCAATATCATACAAAAATCCAGATTTTTAAAATTACTAAAATTGGTAATAAAAATGAGGAAAATTAGTATGTTGCCCAAAATATGTCATCTAGAGGTTGTGCTGGCTCACTGAGTAAAAGCGAGAACACTTGCTGTGTGGTACACATAAAGACCTGAGTTCCATCCCAAGCACCACCACAGAAAAGCCTGCATGATGGTACAACTATATTCCCAGCACTGAGAGGCAGAGACAGGTGAGTTCCAAATGCTGATGTCCAGCAAGCCGGGCTAATGAGTAAGCTTCCAGTTCAGTGAGAGACTCGAGGCAGTCAGGCAGAGAGCAATAAAGGAGTACATTCAATGTCCTGCTCTGGCCTCTGCATACGAATGCACACCACACATCACACATATACAACACACAGAACATACAAACATACACACACAAGAAATACATCATTCTAACCAAACTTACTTTTTACTACTTGCAAAACATTGAGGATTTAAAGCTGATGAAATACAATAACTATAAGGCAATATAGCACTCATTTTACACTGTTACAATTTTCTAAGTACTCACATTACTTGCAAACTGTCTGCTGTTAAATTATTCCACATGATCTCATTTGCCTGAAGGTTTTCATTTTCTTCTAATAAGGAAGTATCAAATTCGATTTCTTGTTCTTTAGCAGCTGTTGTTCTAGTAAAGTATGCCAAATAATTCTAATCAATATTAATATATGATCATAATCTATCTCAGTGCATACCAAAGGCAAAATATTTAATATTATTCTAAATTATGCTAACAAAGTAAACACAATCGTATAATTTAGAGAAAACCCTAGGCATTAAAGATCTAGTCATGTAACGTGAGTCTTGGTTTCTTCATTTATAGAATATATGTACACATTAAGTCAGTTTATCCCCATCACCATTTTTTAAAGTATAAAACAAGATGCATGCAAGGGAAAGCAATTGGTGCCTCAGAAAAATTAATACACATAGAAGCTCATAGTGTCATTTATTATGTAAATGTCAAGGAAGTACAATTTCATAGGTTAAATATGGATTTAAATAATGAAATGTCAATTGAAAGTCTTAAATATAATTTTATAGATTAGTTACCAACTTTAAGACACTCTTTTAAAAAATAAAAGATAAATTCATATAAAATAAACTGCTCTAATAAGATTATTCCTTAAGTTTGTTAAATATAAGAAACAGTATCTTCATAAAGAGCTTAAAAGGAATGAAAATGCCATACCTGTGAACATCTATGAAATTATTATATTCTGTGCTAGGGTCTATCTGTTCGACGGACATCTGAATCTCTTTATGGACATTCACTATCTCCTCTGTAACAAGGCTTGTTATCTGGCTGTATTCATCAAATATACCTTTTCTGAAAGCAAAAATAAAATTGTACATGTTAATGTTTTGGCAAAAGAAACACAGACCCAGAAAGGATTCAGAGCAATAAACATAAGAAATGCAGTATCGGTGTTTTAAGCATGGTGGATTTGTGCACCACCTTATTTCCTATACATGGAACATGAAGGGGTTATGTAACTGTGCAATAATTTAAACACACTATTACCAATTCAAGTACATATCCAAGAGGCAGGGACAGTCAGTACTAATAACTTTCTATTCTTCAATATTCTATTAGAAACACTGGATTTGGGGGCACAGGGCTTCTGACCAACCTGTTCCATTGTTTCTTTCTAGTGTAAGACACTCCTCAAATGTCCCACTCCCCTCTTAATCCTGGGGATGGATGGATATATATGAGATAGATAGATAGATAGATAGATAGAAAGATATATCTTAGTTCAACTTTGGTAGCATCTGTTTCTTCTCCTGACCTCCAATCTGCAGCAAAAATTTCATCAAGTTTATTAGCTTGTTCTAATTAAAGAGAAAGGAAAAGAATTCTGTCACACAGACCAGATCCTCGACTTTTACAGGTTGGGCTTTATAAATAATGATTATTACTGGTGTAAAGGCAAGTATGGGCAAATAAGCCTATTCTGCATATATTCAGATAAACATAAAACAGGGTTTGTTTGTTTTCTAAAATAATTACTTATGAATCAAAATTACTACTTACAAACTTCCCTTGTACATTACTTCAATTACTGTTAAGGTTTTTTGTTTGTTTGTTTGGTTGGTTGGTTGGTTGGTTGGTTGGTTGGTTGGTTGTTTGGTTGGTTGCTTGGTTGCTTGGTTGGCTGGTTGGTTTTTGAGACACAGGGTTTCACTATATAGCCCTGGCTAGACAGGAACTCACTATGTAGACCAGGCTGTCTTCAAACTCAGAGAGAGAGAGATCTGTGCCTGCCAATTTCTCTGAGTGCTGGGACTAAAAGTCTGTATGACCACATCCAACTACTTGCTTTGTTTTAATAGAAAAATAGTGTTAGGGACAAAAACTTAAATTCAATCAGGAAAAAAAAAATCCCACACACATTTTCAGTCAAAGAAAACTGAATCTAAAGATTTGCAAAATGATCATGCAGAAAATAAAGGAAGAGAAGTTCATCAAAATGGTTCATCATTTTTCTGTTCCTATATACAGGACAATGTGTATGTGCATGTAACTTACTAACTATAGCACACTATTAACTCCTTAAAAGGTAAGAAACTTGGCCCACATATACATTCACTGAACACACTATTTTTCATTTAAACACAAAGCTAACTGGAACAGCAAAGTAAATAACAAATACAATGTATAAAGGTCTATCCTTTGGGCATGCTAGGTCATGAGCACAAGTGAAAGTAACATCACAAGTAAAACACAAGAAAAAAGTTCAACAAGTCTAAGAGGCCCAGTGGTCTGGGTAATAATGCAGTTTCCAGAGCAGATGTGTAACTGGGAGAAACGCTGAATCGGATTTGGAAGGGATTTCGTGATAAACAGGAAGTGTATCTTACAGTGCTTTTATCATTTCTTCTTGCATCTTTTGCACAGAGTCCAGCAGCAGAGGAAGTGTGGTATCATAATACTGACTCTGATGGAGCTGTGCCCCCTTCAGTGCCAGTACATACTGATTATGCAGCATATGAAGCTTCATTGTAGCTTTGTCATAGCGCTCCTTGGCCTTTTCTGTTTCCTTCCCTGAAGAAAACATGAAGATAGCAAAGAGATAAGTTTGATCTTCACTGTATGCATCTAGACTGCTGTTATTTCCCACATTTAATGAGAAACCAACTCTGCTGACTGTGTACTGTGTGTAGAGTGCTATGCCAAGTACTGGTCGTCAGTACTCAGCACGGAGTTCCTGTGCAGCACATGCTTGGTCAAAGTCAGAACACACAAATACAGACATACCATCCTTCTCTTCAAAGGAGCTTACAGCATGTCGGGACAGCTGCTCACATGAGAACATGTAAGCAGGAAAGCACGCAAATGTTAAGTTTAAGGCATGTCTAAGATATCAGTAGACAAGAGTAATCTAAGGAGGCTTTGTAGAAAAAACAAACTTAAAGACGCGCATGTACAGAAAAGTGTAGCAAAGATAACAAACAATACAGCCTCCCTCATGTGACTATTACCAACAGGGCACTTCTGTGCTGGATTTCAGGGGCTCCGGGTTTCAAAGAGTCCTTGATGAAGAGCATGGCAAACTGGAATACTGAGGAAGACTTGGAAAGAAGAAGCAATGTTGCAGAGGTAGGTTGAGAGAAAGTAAAGTTCAAGAAAATGAAGAATGAGCTCTTCAGAGGTAGGACAATTCAGACTTGCCAATCAATCAGACAGATAATGTCATGAATCAAAAACCTTTCGAGGTTCTTTATAATAGAAATCATTTAAAAATATTCATACATTGTCAAAATAAGTACATGAATATATCAATTAATACAATTTTAAGCAAGTCATAGATTTTTGGTACAAACTGAGTAAATATGACTTTTACCAATTTAGACTAAAGAACATTTTTAAATATTTATTAATTTCTTCCCTTCTTTGAAGGAAGTTCCACAAGTGAAATTCTACCCCCAGAGAGAGACCTTACATTATTTTTTTAAGTTTTATTTGTGTGTATGTGTGTGTGTGTGACTGCCATGTTTGGGGAATGCCTCATGGAGGTCGGAGAAGGACATCAGATCCCCTGAAGGTGGTGGTGAGCCGCCTGCTATGGGTGCTGGGAATGGAGCCCTGGCCTCCAGAAGAGCAGTAAGTACCCTTGTACTAACCACTGAGCCATCTCTGAAGCCTTGGATTGAGAATTTGTGCTGCCAATCTGCTTAGGCTCTCGGTAACTACCTGCTATTATCATCTGTTTGAGAATCGCTCTAGTTCCAGTGACAAAAGCAAAGAAAGGGTGACATTTTTTGCAGAGATTTAGACACCATCCCCTACAACTATTCCCAGGAATAGAAAAACAAAGTGAGAAATGCAACTCCCTTGCATTTCTCACACCACCTCTAACTATGAGGCAGAGGGACATAAAACGAAAGAATGTCAGGGCCAAAGGACGGGCAGAAGAAGCACTGTGAAATGCTGCCTCCTAGACACAACATGGCTGTCCGCACAGGAACCCACAGCAGCTATGGTTTCCTACACAAGATCAAGACAAGTTAAACATCCAGTGTGGATGGGGTGGCAGTCCTAAGGCCCCACCCATAGTTGAAGACCCTTTGGCAGCTGACAGCTCCTGTGGGAAGGAGTCGCTTTTTCTTGGGCATGTGACCACTAATACCTTGTCCATGCCCCAGTGGTTAATCCCACATCTATGTGTATAAGGGCATCAGAATATAAGGACATCACGCTGTACTCAGCGGGTTGTGTTCTCAAAGAAAAAGAAAAATAGGAAAGACATGAAAATGGGGTAGAAATGTGTTGGTGGACCTAGGGCGAGCTGAATGTGATGGAGAGTAGATATGATTCATGATACTTCACATACATGTATTCATTATTCAAAGAGTATATTAAATATCTAAATATCTACTAAAAATATAAAAATAAAAAGGAAATCACCCTTCCTGTAAACTAGTATGTCTCTATGACCCCCATATCTGGAATTCCCCAAATATCAGACCCACCATGGACCTCTTCTAAGAAGATGAACAGAATTATTTTACAAAAGAAGTCCTACTCCACTAATAGCTAGTTCTGACACAGAAGAATTTTAATAACTGTATAAATTATTTTATAAAATGTTACCCCTGGTGCTATATCTCTCTGAGTCGGGGGGAGGAGGGGGTTGGAGGACCAGAAAAAAGCAATTCAGTTCTGACAGAAATTAAACTACAAAGAATAGGACTTTGATATTATTTGACTATAATAGGGTATGACATTTTCTGTCATGAATTGGTACAATAATCATACAGGTTAGTAATGGTATAATTTAATATGAAAGAACTCTTATTACTATCTGGTAGCCTTTGTTTTTTTGTTTTTGGTTTTTTAATTACATCCTACTCGAAATTCAGATTTGAAGAATATTTATCAAAATCCAATGAACATTTTACCTCAGTTATACTAAATCCTCAATAGTATGTCCTTGGAATAATTTTATTACTTAGTAATGAAGTCATTTCAATATTAATTATAAATGATTTTTAACATCCCAATGAATATATTCTTCCACGGAACAATGTATAATTTTTCTAAGAATAACATATATACAGCATTTCTACCCATGAATATCATTATCACCATCTTTCCTGCAGAACTACAGTTCATTGGAAGTCCTAGGGTCAATCAACCGACACATCTTATGACTACTTGTTCCTCCCACCCACAGGAGTAAACTCCTGTAGGAAGCTGACGTCCAAACCCAGACCTACACCGCCCGGTCTTGAGTAGAAGCTAAGTGGCATTCCACCTGAGTGAGACAGAACGTATAACTGGCCTACTGCTACCCTTCCTGTGACCACTTCAAATTTGTGTTCGTTTTCTCTTTTGTTTCAATTCACTGTTTTTAAAAGCTAGTTTGTTATTTGAAATTAAACAACTTAATTCTGACAACACAATTCACAAGACCATGCACAATTATCTAGAAATAGTTCAAGTCAAAAAGATCCTGTCCACAGTCTACATGTTCATAAGAAAACAAAACAGTTTCCGATTAAGAGTAGCTGACAATTGTGGTATAATCTGATGCTTTTTTTTTTTTTACTTTAAAAATCCTGATGACTGAACTCAACTAATTCCACATTTAATGTCCCCCTTTTTGAACTATTTGTATGTTTTTTTTTTTTCACTTTAACCGTAGAATTCCTTACTCATTCTTATTTTTTTTTCTAACTTCAAAAGTCATCTCTCCACACATACATTTTCATTGGGACATTTAAACCGCCCATCTGTTTCCTATTTTCACAGATTTTAAACTGCACACTACCCATCTGCCTTTGTATCGGGTGTAGAATGACACAGTAAGTTTACCACACTCAACTCACTACGGTGTTCATAATACAAAAGAGCAGCAACCTTAATCTCACAGCCGCTGCTTCTTTCTGAAATAGGTGGACTGTGTGATCAACAACCTAAATAGGAACATTCTAGCCAAAGTCTATTTACCAACTGCTTACTGACAGTCACGAAGAAAACTCAAAACAATGCCTTTGAAAACATCCAGTAAATAATCCATTACATTAAAATAGGAATTCTTCAATAACACCTTGAGGTCTAGAACTAGATGTGAAGTTATAGTTTAGAAGGGTTTGGGGGAGAAAGTGCACTACCACTCCCCACACATCTACCTTTGGCTGTAAAGCAAGCTTGTGGCAAATACTCTACCATCAGTCTATCTACTGTGCCCTCCCTTGAGAGTTTTGAAGACCTGCTTCACTGTCATAATTTGGAAAAGAACTCTACAGCACTTCTATAGATTTGTTTTACAAATAAATACTACAGTCACATGGAGGCTATATAAATAAACCCCAAAATATCAAAAATATATACAACAAAAGATGGACACAAGAAGGGGTAATAAGATTTATGTGACATGGAAGCAGAAGGAGGGTTATTAGGGGAAATGGACAGGAAAAGAGAGACAGAGGAGATGAACAGGAAAAGAGAGACAGAGGAGATGGAGGACAGGAAGAGGGAGACAGAGGAGATGGAGGACAGGAAGAGGGAGACAGAGGAGATGGAGGACAGGAAGAGGGAGACAGAGGGGATGGAGGACAGGAAGAGGGAGACAGAGGGGATGGAGGACAGGAAGAGGGAGACAGAGGAGATGGAGGACAGGAAGAGGGAGACAGAGGGGATGGAGGACAGGAAGAGGGAGACAGAGGAGATGGAGGACAGGAAGAGGGAGACAGAGGGGATGGAGGACAGGAAGAGGGAGACAGAGGAGATGGACAAGAAGAGGGAGACAGAGGAGATGGAGGACAGGAAGAGGGAGACAGAGGAGATGGAGGACAGGAAGAGGGAGACAGAGGGGATGGAGGACAGGAAGACGGAGACAGAGGAGATGGAGGACAGGAAGAGGGAGACAGAGGAGATGGAGGACAGGAAGAGGGAGACAGAGGGGATGGAGGACAGGAAGAGGGAGACAGAGGGGATGGAGGACAGGAAGAGGGAGACAGAGGAGATGGAGGACAGGAAGAGGGAGACAGAGGAGGTGGGGCCGAGTGGGAAGCGAGAGTAAGAACAAAGTACTGTAACAAATGCACATGAAAATGTCACAGTGAAGCCCATTATTTTCATGCTAACTAGAAGTGAATGAAATAAAGAAAAAATTAAAAACTGTTAATCTTTCACTTAACAAAATTATGGTTTAAAAAGAAACACCACCTAATGCAATTCTAGCTATGTATCTATATGGTTCTGAGTAACTTGGATCACTGGTATACTTTCTAATATACCTTAAAATTAATCACATATAAGATTCCGGGTAATCTGAAGCACACAGGGTGAACAAATTGCTTTTCCCAGATCTCTGTTGCTGTCTGTGTTTCCTTAAGCTGATGAGAGGCGCTGAGGCGACACATGGAGTTATTCTGTGTGTCAATTAACAGCGAGGAAAACATCCAATTTTTCCTCCTCCACATAATGAAATTCACAGAGAGATTGAATTCTAATTCTTTCACCACTACTTGTTGATAAATCTGTCTAATGTTTTGTAATAACAGAGTGTGTATACAACATGTCATGCCATAAACAGT